AAGGAGAAACCAACACTTCTATTATTACGAGGAGAGAAGGCTCATTGGTAGAGATGTTGCCATGGAGAATGCACCAGTTAATTATGACTGTCAGTCCTAAAGACTGGGGGCTCATATTAAACAACATACCCCTTCATCTGTTTGCACCATGCAAAGTTCTGACATTATCCAAGCAGCCCATCCTTGCTAAACTCATATTGGCAGCTCTGGTATTAGATCAGATTCCACAAATGGGAAAAAAATTACATGGATAAACAATTTAGAATTTAAACTTGCATGAACTGGATGCTACATATACTAATACACAGGAATATGTTCCTTGCAGACAGAAAACAAAATGTACACATACTGCACTTATTACAAGTCCACACAATAGGAGGCAGCCAGTTACTGGTTTACTTGTCAGATCAATATCTTTCCCAATCAGTCAACCTGCCTGGTTTAGACTTAAAACAAAGCTTGGCCGTTAACTGTTAGAACATAGAACATAGAACATAGAACATTACAGCGCAGTACAGGCCCTTCGGCCCTCGATGTTGCGCCGACCTGTGAAACCAATCTGAAGCCCATCTAACCTAAACTATTCCATTATCATCCATATGTTTATCCAATGACCATTTAAATGCCCTTAAAGTTGGCGAGTCTACTATTTTTGCAGGCAGGGCATTCCACGCCCTTACTACTCTCTGAGTAAAGAACCTACCTCTGACATCTGTCCTATATCTATCACCCCTCAATTTAAAGCTATGTCCCCTCATGCTAGCCATCACCAACCGAGGAAAAAGGCTCCCACTGTCCACCCTATCTAATCCTCTGATCATCTTGTAAGTCTTCATTAACTTGTGCTTTCTCCATGGCAATGCTTCTGACCATTTGGGGTCCACTTATAAACCAACCAGCATCTTCTACCTCTTACAGCCAAAGTATTCATTTTCTCTCACGTTGCTCCTCTGACTTGGTTTTATGATTGCAAGATGAAAAGCTTCCAAGAGGTTTACCTTTTTCAACAAAACTCAACTTTAAATTGTTTGAATTCTTATGTTGGGTGCTGAATATTTAAATGGTTGCAAAGATAAAGAAAATAATCATGAAATCATTACAAGTTGATAATTGTTTCGAACTTACTTCAAAAAAAATGAATATGTATTGCTTTAAAATTTTCATCCTATTCCATTCAAATCAGTCGTTATCTTGCTTTCTTCCAAATGAAAAGCAAGATAATCAAAATAAAATGTTGGCACAACACATTCGCAGCTTCAAAAATACAACATAAAGTGCTTAGATGTGTTATACAAACAGTTGCACTTATTTTTACAAGTAATATGCTTTGTTTCAATTAGAATTAGTCTCAATTTTCATTAGTCCTTCAGTATGCTTCTCCTCTCACATCATTCATTATTAGGAGCCATGTTCTAGGAGCTTGAGTCAAGGACTAGTTGATATGATTGCATTGATTCTCTTCATCTCTACTGAAAGCTCTTTTCTCCAACTTTCCGACTGAGATCAGAACGTACAATGGGCATGAACTCATTTCTACCTCTGGCCATGGCAATATATATCCATGACCAACATACTTTAGTTTTAGACATTCCTAAAAGATGATTTCCATTTCTAAATTAATGCTGCTACCAATTATATTCTGACTTCACCAAAAACAATGTAAAACCACAGAAAAGCATTTATACAATTAATGGTAGGGCCTTGGGAATTGTTGTAGAACAGAGTGACCTAGGGATTCAGGTACATAATTCTTTGAAATTTGCATCACAGATAGACAGGGTGGTTAAGAAGGCATTAAGCATATTCGCCTTCATTGCTCAGACCTTCATGTGTAGGAGTTGGGATGTCATGTTGAAGTTGTACAGGATCTTGGTGAGGCCTCTTCTGGATTACTGTGTGCAGTTCTGGTTGCCCAGTTATAGGAAGGAAATTATTAAACTGGAGGGGGTTCAGAAAAAATTTAGCAGGATACTGCCAGGAATGGAGGGTTTGAGTTCTAAAAAGTAGGCTAGATACCTTGCAATGTTTTTCAATGGAGCATGGAAGGTTGAGGGGTGACCTGATAGATGTTTATAAAATTATGAGGGGCATAGATAAAGTGATTAGCAAAGAGCTTTCCTCTATGGTGGGGGAGTTCAAAACTAGGGGGCATATTGTTAAGGTGAGAGGAGAAAGTTTTAAAAAAGACATGGGGGCAAATTTTTTACAGAGAGAATCGTTCATGTGTGGACTGAACAGCCAGAGGAAGTGGCAGATGCAAATACAGTAACAACATTTAAAAGACATAAATAGGAAAGTTTCAGAGGGATACTCGCCAAATGCAGGCAGGTGGGACTTGTTTGGGAACATGGTCAGCGTGGATTAGTTGGACTGAAGGGTTTGTTTCTAGAATTGTATAATTCTATGACTCTATGACTCTATAAATTGAAACAAATAAAAATGACTCTTGTTAATGATCAAACTCTTCTACCCATATGTTGAGTTAACCCTCAATGAAGGGGAAGCTTTTGCAAAAATTGAAGCTGGTTGTGTATACATTACTTTGCACATACATCTCTGTTCCTGTGTTGGTACTGAAGCAATATATTCCACCCTCCACTGTACATAAAGAAGACATAATTAGAGGTGTCGCTATATGTCAGCATTAATTCCACTGCCCTCAACTCCATATATAAAGGGAGCATTGATCCATTGATCTTATACCTTCTGAATATGAAATCCAGACCCATTCAGTTACAGCCATGTAACTCATCACTTCCTCTCATTTAACATATGTTTTATTGTCTTGGCTAGTAGAGATTTTAATATTCTTTGGCATTGACTAGTAATGTGAGCTTTCATTTAATTCCTTTACGGCTGCCATTTTGCCTGAATGATGTACTCAAAATCACAGAAAAGGGACACAGTCATTAATTTATTGTTCTATGTATTGCAAAAGCAACAATGCTCACAGAGAGAAAAAAAACATGAAATGGTGCACAAAAGCTTTATCAAAAAGCACAATCTGGCTTCAAAGTAATCAATGTTCTTGGGTAATTGCTTTAAAAGCATTATAAATTTGAAGCTTTGCAAAATGCAATGATAAACTAGGTGATAGCTAATTCTCATGCGTTGATACTATCGTGATCCTTGTGAATGACATTGGGGTAAAATGATGAGACCAATACGCTACTTCTCAAGCTCTGGGTGAATACAATTGTTGCCATTAAAATATTAGCAAGAAAAGGTGGTGAGCCATCTGAACTAGCAAAGGTCTGAACAGATTAGATAGAATCACAGGTGATTTTATAAATTTGAGTTTCATAAAATTAATAATTATTTAAATACATTCCAGTGGAATTCAGACAGCTACTAGAAATGTGGCACTCCTGCTTTAAGTTAATAATTGAGATAACTGCTTAATATTAGAGTTTTAATAACAAATAATTAATGAAGACAAAGGAAATCCAAACAAAACTGACATATATATCTTATCCACAGATGAGATGGGGTTAACATTCAATAACTCTGAGTTATGCAAACTCCAGAGATTTAATTTTTCATTTTAATATTTAGCATGGCATAAAATAGAAAGATGTAGATGAAAGGAGATGAAATGAAAAATGATAAATGGCACCAGCTGTGAATTATGTTAATATATAGTTACATTTCAAATCAAAAGAAAGGATTAAGATGCTACAAAATACATTTGCCAGATCTCATTTCTAGCAATGTGTGTATTTCTAATCCCCAATCATAGTTTGGAGATTTATTAGTGGCTCTGAAAGAGTATAGATGCAAGAAACCAAAATGATTCTAGCTACCAGAATCTAATATTTTCAGAACGGATTACAAACATGGGCTGGAACTCTGTGTGGAGGCTTTGACGTGATCCAATTTTACATTTTCATGTGCATGAAAAGATTGTTAAGGTTGATGCAACCAAATTATTCGCTATGATATAAAGCTCAAACAGCAGAAGAGAGAAGTAAACAATTAGAAATTTTGGAAAAGAGAGAAGTTAGTAATTAAGACCACTGAAATGAACAACATGAACAGATTCAAGTGGCACAGGTGTGTTTAGAGACAGATGATGAAGAAAAATAGTTGAAAGTCGAGCTGCTGAAATATATTTGAATAAAAAAGTTAATGGTCTATTGGTTTTAATGATATTTTCCAAATATTGATGACATTGAGTTGGAAATTATTTTTGTGGAGTTGGAAATTATTTTTGTAGGAGTGAATGGGTTAACTTTAGTTAAAAATCTGGTCTTCAAAATGTTTTGCTCCATTCAGCATGTTTGATCATAAATCAGCTAAAAATTAGTCTGGAATTTGGATATGCAATGTCTTGCGTATGAATTTCCAGAATGAAAAATCTACTGCTATCAGAGTGGAGGAGGACTTACCTAACTCAGGATTACTCTGCTTTCCTGTTGTCCGAGGTGTCTCAGTGTACATTGGCAGAGTTTTGTATATGTCTACCTGCTAACGGGGTTACCTGCCTATTTCTATAGGCTGATATTGTGGCCTTGCATGCAGAATGAAAATAGAATTTAAAGCAAAAGTTAAATCAACTCTCTTACAAAGGGAAAAATGAAAGATGTTTTCCAGGGGATTTAGCAACTTGCCTTCCCTTTAGAGTCGATTAATACTTTGCAACTGAGGGTCCACCATATAAGTGAAAACCTCTTCTGATCCCATGAGCTTTGATGGAGCCAGGGTTGGAAGTCAAGTGCTGATACGCTGAACTACTTAAGTTGAGACTGGCTGACTGTTATTATGTTGCTAAGTTTGTAGACCTTCCAGACTGATGGCTATAATAGTTCATTTGTCTGTTGAATGACAACCTATTTAAAGAAAAGGAAGCCTACTCTATTGTTATTATTTTGTAATATAAATATCTTTCCCCGTTAGGTGGCCTTAAATTATTTACCAGCAATCTAACTCATTCTAAGATAGATTAGTGCTCAAAAAGAAATGTCTATTATAAATTTAAAGTATAGAGCATTTACACTTACACACAAGTGGGCACTTCAGAGTGTGGGCCCAGCTGGCAAGTGCCACCATTGTAACAGTATCCATCACAAGACAGGCAGCTGGATGCAATCCTTCCGTTTGTGCAACTGTATCAACAAAGTGAGACTAATGTCATTCCAGATCATGCTACAAGAACCATAATTATAGGCGCCTGTATGTATTCAATGGAATGCTCTGTTGCACGAGATATTGCTTACATTGAGTCAGAAAATATTTTTTCATGAGAGTGAACAATAATTTCATTTTTAGTGAAAAATGCACCTGAATGATCTTTTTCTTTGTTACACATTTACAGTTACAAATCTAGTGCTATTAACCATTCAGAGATTTTACGTCAGATTATTTCTCTAAATAGTTTATGTAAATATTTTCAATTTTGTAATGTGAATTCATTATCCTTATGCTGGAGTTCGGATTGCTAAGAAAAAGTGGGTTAATGGCAGCAAAGTCATGATGACTAATGCAGGGACATATATTGGTTAATCTGGACATATGTACACTAGCTTCATATTGAGAGAACATCCAAGTCAGCAAATTCATGGATGAATTCTTTTGAAACTAAAATATATTGAAATCGATTGAATTTGTCATTTAAGGTCCAGTTGATTGAATATATTTTTCAAATGCCTCTACTTTGTAGTCATAGCTTGGAGCTACACTTATGTCTGTACAAAAAAAAATAACATGAAAAGATTTCCTGTGCGTGTTGGGTGTGGGAAAATAAACATATTTCTCTACGCTTAATGCAAAAGTCATCTTCTAGGTGTGATTATCATTTAAATTTAATGTGCTTCCGTAATGATTGTGAACTAAAGCTATATCTACAAATGAATGGAATCCTTTGGGTCACCTACAGTAAGAACTAGATTGTATTATCAATCCATATAAAAGCTATCTTTCCTTTCTCAAATGAGCAATATTATTTTTTAAGCTGGTCATCCATGTCAAAAAGTTAAGGTCTATCAACCTCAGTCTTTCATGGACTGAGTTATTTTGAGGCAATAACATGAAAACAGTTGATTTCTTTGCTTTATACTGGAAATTGTCATAAGATCCAACTTATATTTCAATCCTGTGTTAGCTGTTTAGTGTTGACAATCTAATATTATGAGGGAGTTGTTGACTGAACAAAAAAACATTACAATAGTTGATGAGTTTCATGCAAACAGACTAGGTATTCACATGCTAATACATGCTCAACATAATTGAGGCACTCTTATGTTTTACCCAGCATGAATTGTAATCAGATTGAGTGGGTCTCAATGGTAACAACATAACTGCTTTAATTTCAAATTCTGTAGCTCCATATTACCACTTTTCTGTTAGCCAATTCAGTTCAACATAAAATTAATTGTGTAACACGGACATAAATTACTGGACATGGGTTCAAACATCAAGTGCACTGTAGCGTTTAATCACAGGAGATTTCACTGTTATGCAGACACAAATAAATGCATGGGCACAAGACCTGAATTTCAGAGGTACAGTGGAAGGAATGCTCTATCAAACAGCATTTAACTCATGTGGTACCAAGCAGAAAATTCTCCAGTGTCTGGACTCATTTCTGGTGTAAGAGAAGATGCGGAAGCAAAATACAGCAGATAATGGAAAACTGAAATAAGAACAGAAATTTCTGGAAACACTACAGGTCTGGTAACATCTGTGCATAGAGGAAAACAAGTTAACGGGCTAGATTTTCACAGTGTAGCAGGTACAGGACCGGGTGTCAACGTGCTGGCAAATTCTCATTGCTGTGGGGGAACGTGTCAGCTTTCTCATGTGGTCCTGCCTCTGGGTCACTTCAAGGAACAGCAGCAAACCTGTGTGGTATATCATGCTCGACTGCTCATCAGAGCATCAGACAAATGATGGATGTAGGTGTATGATAGGACGTCGGAATATATTGAGTTCCAGATGATTCTGACCACAAAGGCTGCAATATTTGGTTCTGTTACTGAATTCCTTCAGGTGCAGAGGTTTTATCGACAGTATGATCACCAAGGTACTGGATGTGCAGTCAGGACATTGATAATGTCTCTCAATGTCAATTCCCTGTGTAACCACCACAAGTAATTTTTGCAGGTATAACCTGGTAGCTGCCATGATGCCCTTATGCTAAGTCAATTGAAGGTGCCATAGTTGATTAGGCCACCAGAGAGACCACATTGGGAGACAAGGGCTATCTGTTGAAGAATACCTTTTGACATAGAAGTGTTGCACCTGGTGCTATTTCAGCACAAGGGCCATCGTAGAACAGGTGTTGATGACAGTCTGGTATCTTGACTAGTAAGGGTAGTACATTTCCTCAAGGGATTCTCACATTTTGGTGGTTTGTTATGCTCTTCACAACATGGCTCTTCAGAGAGACGTGGGTCTTAAGGAGGAAGACGTGGAGGACTAACGCATCTTTAATGGAGGAAGAGGTACGGAGGACAAAGCCTTGCAGGAATTCAGTAATCCTACAGTGTAAGACATCCACAGGTCCAGTTATAGTGTTCAACTACTGACCAGCGTGGCAGAGGATACTATATGTCACTAACATAGGCCCATTTCTTCTGCATGTACGTCATCCTGGACCACAACCTATTCAGAATCTTTGAGATAGCAAGAACTGCAAATGCTGGAGTCAGAGATAACAAAATGTGGAGCTGGAGGAACACAGCAGGCAAGGCAGCATTAGAGGAGCAGGAAAGTTGACGTTTCGGGTCTTCAGAAATGGGGAGGGGAGGTCAGAAATAAACGGAGAGAGGAGGAGTGGGGCTGGGAAGGTAGGTGGGAAGGTGATAGGTGAGTGCAGGTAGGGAGTGGTCGGGATTGGTCCGTGAGGTGGGAGAGAAGACGGACAGGTTGTGTCAGGTCAAGGAGGTGTGGATGAGAGGGAGAGTTGGTCAGGGGATGAGGCGGAGTTGGGGAGATTTTGAAACTGGTAAAATCCATGTTTAGGCCATCAGGCTGTAGGCTCCCGAGGTGGAATATGAGGTGCTGCTCCTCCAGTTGCGGATGTAGTCCACTACATCTGCTGCACCCGATGTGGCCTCCTCTACATCGGTGAGACCAAGCGGAGACTTGGAGACCGTTTTGTACAGCATCTGCGCTCTGTATGCGACAAACAACACCTTCCCGTCGCGAAACATTTTAACTCCCCATCCCACTGCCTGGGTGACATGTCCATCCAGGGCCTCCTCTAGTGTTACAATGATACCACCCTCCTCTCTCTATTTATTTTTGAGCTCCTCTCCCTCTCCCCATTTCTGAAGAAGGGTCCTGACCCAAAACGGCAACTTTTCTGCTCCTCTTATGCTTCCTGGCCTGTTGTGTTCCTCCAGCTCCACATTTTGTTGTCTCATTCAGAATCTCCCTTTCTTCACAAAATTTGAGTCTGTGCAAGCTGACGATAATGCAGGAACATAACCCTTCCCTCTACAATACCTGAAAGATAAGTCACTACCAGCGACACAATACCCTTGACCACCCATGTTTGCGCAAACATCCTCATTATAATTCTGTAGTCTTATTACAATCAAAATGTTGTATCATAGGAGTATGGATTAAATTATTAATTATTTCTCATTATATAGAACTGACAAAACCATAACATAAATCACCTGAGTAAGCCACAAAGAGAAACTACCATGATGCACCATCTTTTATTTGCCAATTGTCCTTGATGTCGATAAGGCAGATTTGGAAGCTGCTAGCACATGTGAATGCTGGTAGCTGAGGTGTCTGAGATGGCTCCCTTGATGGTATCAATAGGAGGAAACCTTCATTGATGGCCTTGCTGTATAGATAGCCCCTCAAATTTGAGCTGCCAGTGTAGGCAGGACATAGAGCATGGACAAAAATAAAGTTGCTGGAAAAGCTCAGCCGGTCTGGCAGCATCTGTGGAGGAGAAAAGAGAGTTAACATTTCAGGTCCGGTGACCGGACCCGAAACGTTAACTCTGTTTTCTCCTCCACGGATGCTGCCAGACCTGCTGAGCTTTTCCAGCAACTTTGTTTTTGTTCCTGATTTACAGCATCCACAGTTCTTTTGGTTTTTACATAGAGCATGGACTTTGTTGACCAGTGGTCTGTGAGTGTCTTTGCATCATCCATGAATCTGACCAGTCAATGCTATAGAAAATAACTTAAATCTGGGCATGTTAGTGCTACTGTTTGTGCATCCACATTGAATGGCTCTCGACAAGCTTAGTTATTCTTTAAATGGTTGAGCTCCTGCAATCGTGTGGCTCAGATAAGTTGTAGAGTCCATTTGCTGTCCATGAGTCCAGGGAATGCCAAAATTTGGGTGCTACACCACCAACTACTGCTCCAGGGAAAAATGCCAGTGTGCTAACATCAAAGGATACCTCCTCCATGGATGGGAGAATAGCAAAATTTGCCACTCAACCTCTCTTTTCATACTCATTGTGAGCTCTTTATGCATGAAATGTCAGGAGCAACAGCATTAAGACCATGTCGTTCTTCAGCCACATGCAATGACATTATTTCCACTGCAATATCCTCAGTGAGTGCTTGTGATGAGAGAAGTGCACTTGGGCATATGTATTGTTACTGTTCTTGAGCATGATGTCCTCAGGTGCTCAGTTATCTGACTACAGAACTGGATACTTGTTATCTGAGTGTCAAATTGCATTTACCTTTCCAAACTACAGAAAGGAATTAAAGCATTTCCTGAACTACACTTACACCATGCTAACCATTCTGCAGTGGCTTGCCTCCTGTGCCAACTCCATTGCCACCCCTGCCATGTGAAGCTATCTGACTGGCCTTCTCCTGCCACTTTTCAAAACCACAACACTCTGCCAGCCCGCCACCAGCTCAAACACCACTTTCATGTGACAAATTCTGGGGTCGCCATCCACCATGGTGCCTGACCTACTGCTGCTCAGCTGCTGTTTGACATTCCTAAGAATCTGGCATAGATATTAATAGCTACTGAATGTCCTTTAAATCAGGCCTTCTACACCTAGGTCTCATCTCCTCGCAAGACTGTATCCTTGAAAATTGCAGTGGACATCAGGTCAATGGCAAAAATGGTCACAACATTGAAATGGTCCTGGTTTCAGGCCCACAGGTCTGAAACAGAAATCCAGACCAATATTTCAGGTCTGTACCTTTCCTCAGAACTTCTGAAGAACGATCAGAGAGCTGAAATGTTAACACTGCTTCCCTCTCCACAAAATAATAGTGGCTGAGATAGATGGAGACGAATAATCTCAGTGCAAGGTATCATTTCAGAAGTTCCTCAGAGAACTGTCAAAAAGTCCAACCATCTTTGTCAATGATCTTCCATCCACCATAAGATCAGAGGCAGGGCCTTTCACTGAAAATTGAATTTCGTTTAGCGAGAGTTGAAAAATGAAGTAGCCCACGCTCTCATTCATAAGACCTGGATCACATACAGGTTTGGGGTGATAATCACCAACAATCCCATCATACAACATGGACAATGACCATGTCTAACATGAGTGGCTCAACCCGATTCCCCAATGGCTGCTGCCTACAAGGTAGAGTATGATGGAGCGCTGCCTACTTGTCTGGATGGATGTGGCTGCTGTAATACTTAAGAACCTCAGCAACAAGGCAAGTTGCTTAATTGACATGCTAGTTTAAGCACCCACTCTCTCCATCAATGGCGTTCTCTGGCTGTAGTGTAGCAATTCACCAAACATTTCTTCATTAGCACTTCCCAAATCTCATCTCCCCTACTTGGAAAGACAAGAATAGCAAATTCCCTTTGAAAGAATCATCCTGTATTGGACATAAATCTATATTTCTTTAATATATATCCTCAACTTCTCAAAAATAACTGGGATAAACAAAAAGTCCTGAGCTTATCTGTAATGTTCATATCCTCAAAAGATTTTTTTTTCGAAAGTTATAGTACTGAATGGAAATTGTATTTACAAGGAAGTGTATCAAGGAGCAGTTGGTGTAAATTCTTTTATGGAAGCCAGGTGGAGCAGTAGACTAAAATAATCATGCAGTATCACCCTGTCATTGTGAGAGAATAGCCAAAACAGGCATAATGTTACCAGAAATCTTTTGAGGTGAACTTAATTACAATTAAATTAGCATTTGAGCAAAAACATATAAATTGCCTGAAAAATGAAGGCACTACAAGCGAATTATCTGAACCAAAGTCTAAATCAAGCAACTAACAGAAAAGGAAGAGGAGGTATTGAAGTTATCATATAAATTTCTAGGTACAGGCAGAAGCTCTGATGACTTGGGTATAATTACAACATGGCAGTTGGTGAAATTTGAATTTAAGTAGTAAAGCTGAAAATGGAAAAAAAAAGTAAGGGTGACAATGAAACATATTGTCTCAGCAACCCATCTGGTTCATGAATGGTCTTTGGAGAAGGGAACCTGCATCCTAACCAGGCCTGGCCTACATGAGATTCCAGATCCATAGCAATGTGATTGACACTTAACTGCTGTCTGAAATGACAAAGCAAGCCATTCTGTTGTATCAACTGCGAAAGAAAAGTCAGTAAGGAATAAGACTGGACAGAACACCTGTCATTGCTCTAGGCAGCAGAAATGGCAAAAAACACAAAACAACCCTGTCTACCCTGCAAGGTCTTCTTTGCTAATAACTGGGGGTTTGTGCAAGAATTGAAGTGCTGTCCCACAAACTAGTCCATGACAGGATTGGTAGGAGTGGCCACTGTAGAGTGATAGTGGAGAAGGCTTCCTGTCTGGAGAGTGGAGGATGTTCTCCATAATGTGGTGCCTCTGTGCCAACGGAGCTAGATTTTGAACAGATAAAATAATTCAAAACTGGGTATTCAGGAGGCCTGGTTCAATGAAGAGTGCAAGACGGGATGTTGGACCAGCACGAGGCAGACTTCGAAATGAGGTATTAAGCTCAGTGAAACAACAATACAGGATGATTGGCGTTTCAAGAAGCAATAGCAGCATGCAGTAGACAGGTCCTACCGATCAGATCCAAGCTGTACCGTCCAACCACAACTGGTTGTGAATGATAGTGGACAATTAAATAACTAACTGGAAGAGGAGCCTCTACTAGTATCCCTAACATAAAGATAGGGGACCACAGTATATCATTGGAAACAAGAAAGCTATCCTTAGCTAGAAATGCTGAGTGGCTGATCCAACTTGTCCTACTCTTGAGGTACCCAACTATTTGATCAGTCCACGTGATATCAAGAAACAGCTGTGGTCCTTGACAACATTCTGCCAATTGTACTGAAGGCTTGTGTTCCAGAACATGTTGTGCCCTAGCCAAACTGTTCCAGTACTATTATAATACTGGTTCTCACCTGATAATTTCGGAAATTACCCAGGTATGTTTTGTCCATAAAAAGCAGAACATATCCAAACCAGTTAATTACTGCCACATTAATCTACTCTCAACCATTTACAAAAGGATGGATAGTGTCGTCAATATGTAATGCTATCAAATGGCACTTACTCAAAAATAATTTGCTCAGTTTGGGTTTTACTAGGGTCACATTGCAAATTTCAGACAATAAAGCTGAACTCCAGAGGTGAATGGAAAGTGACTGCCCTTGACATTAAGATAGTATTTCTATGTGTTTGACCTAGCAAAATTGGAGTCAATTGTGGAAGAACACTTCATAGGTTAGCATCATATTGAACATAAAGGATGATGGTGTTGCTTTTGGAGGTCAATTATCACATTCTAGGACTACTCTGCAGGAATTTTTCAGGGTAGTGTCCAAGGCCCAACAATCTTCAGCTGCTTCATCAATGCCCTTCCCCTCCATCATAAGGTCAGAAGTGGGGATGTTCACCGATGATTGCAAACTTTCAGCGCCATTCACAGACCCTTAGATACTGAAGCAGTCGATGTCTACATACAGCAAGGCCTGGGCCAATGAAGTGAGAGAGAACTGTACAACAACAATCAATGATCATCTCCAACAAGGGAGAATTTAACCAACTCCCCTTAATATTCAATGGCAGTGCTGTCAATAATCAATATTATGGTGGTCATCAGCAGACAGGAGTGAACTGGGCCAATCATTTAAATCCTGTGGCTATAAGAGAAAGTCAAATATTAGAGGTTTTAAGGTGAACAACCCACCCCCTGACTCCCGAAAGCCTGAACACAATCTATAAGGTACAAGTCAGGAATGTGATGGAATACTCTCCACTTGTCTGGATGAGTACAGCACTAGCAACACTCAAGATGCTCAACACCAGCCAAGACCAAGCAGCTTGCTTGATTGGCAGCCGATCCAACATCTTAAATACTCACTGTTTCTACCACACAGTGTAGCAGTGTGTACTATCTACAACCAAGGCTCCTTTAACAGCACTTTCCAAACCTGCAAGCTAGAAATGCAAGGGCATCAGATGCATGGAACAAGGCCACCACTGAGATCCCCTCCAAGGTGCGTACCATCCTGATTTTAAATTATATTACCTTTTCTTCACTGTCACTGGGTCAGTGTCTGAAAGCTCACTTCTTAACAGTACTATGGGTGTGCGTAAACCGCGTTCGCTGCAGTGATTCAAAGATGTAGCTATCTACCACTTTCTTCAGAGCAATGAGGGATGGACAATAAATACTGACCTTGCCAATAATGCACACATCCAATGAAATATTAACTGTAAAAAGAATAGAGTTTGCCTGCAGGCACCCAAAGCCATTTGTTGGGATGTTGGCTTGCTCATACAGTTAAAGACAATGCTTCTCGACATTTAGTAAATGTATACTTACTTGCAGGTAACCTGTCGTGTCTCTTTGTCCACAATACACTCGCCACTGTGGCAAACAGCACATTTATCTACTTCACATTTTGGTCCTTCAAATCGTGGTAAGCAGAGACATTGAGCACTGCCATCATTGTTAATTTTGCAGGTACCTAAATTCATGCAGTAATTGTGGCATACATCTGGAACAGAGTGAATACAAATAGTAAATTGAGTTAGAGTAACAAATTAAATAAAACAAATTACGATAACAAGAAGTGCAGCATTTTCATTGAAAGCAATGCTATTTAGATTGCATTTTAATTACAATTCAGAGGCTGCTACTTTTAGAAGGTGGATGCAATATTCTCCAAGGCAAATTTGGAAGGGTATATATGAATTAAAATGAGTGATATCTGCTATCAGTTTGGTAGTTACACTAAAATCAACTATCAAACAACAAATAAATGTCTTTTTTGCCTAAAATTTCCTAAAAATGTTGTTTAATAATCTTGCTGATTTTAAAAGAAAACTGCTTTTAAGTTATTTCCAGTAAACAGCTTCAATACCAGATAAGACAAAGAAATCTCTGTAAGGGTCACAAAACAGCCCAGTTGTCATTAGTGCAACATTTATTACTGGTCGCTAACTGAATGAAAAAATATGAGAAAATGAATAACAAATATGTTAATCAGTAAAAATTATTGGGGTTAATTGATGAAGTGAATTTTGTACTTAATTCAGTACAACCATGCAATTTGTCAGCAATAAAAGGATAGTTTGAAAGAAATGTGTGACCATTTTAAATAGGGGCATTATATGTTTTGAATTTGTTTGGACAAATATTTGAACATCTGAAGATTTGAGGAGCAGTTTTCTGCTGATGGTAATTTTGCTGTTAGAATACTGTTGAGTGAAAAATGTAATTCTAAGCATAATTCCCACTGGATCATGTTCGTGTTGCACAAAGCAATTCAACCTGTCTTTCAAACTTATCTTTAAGAACTTCAATCTCATCCTAACCGTACATTCATTGAACTATATTCTTAATAGTGACACAGCTTAGCTGCTTTGGAAGGAAGTGGGGTGGAAATGTTCTCATCTCAAATCTCATTCCAGACTCATACAAAACAACAATCATTAACATATCTGCATTGTTCAATTACGTAGAGAGGTGTCTCAGACTGCTTTACACCAGAGAGGCTATAGTAAATGAACACTGAGCTGGAGGAAGAATAGGAGGCTCATGATAGAATGAAAGAACAGCTAAAGAATAGGACCTTTGAAGGCAGACAAAAGTGTGGCATGGTTTAAATGCTTGGAAAGGAGGCAGAAGTGATAATCATGATGTTTAGCTTTGAGCACAGACCAAAACTACCTGTATGCACTTACATTACTCAGTCTTTCCACAAAAGACACAGATTTATATTTCTTCTAATGAATGATTATACTTGCCTAACAAAGGAGTCAGAGGTGATCAGAGGTAGATGGATTATGGGGTTGAAGCCACAATCAAATCAGTTATGATCATTTTGAAATGTAGAGCGGGCTAGAGTGGTCAAATACTGTTTTTCTGCTCCTAATTTGTATGTTTGCTGTTGGAAATTCAAATTTCCAGCATCTCTAATATTTTAATACAAAACAAAGGACTGCAGATGCTGGAGATCTGAAACACACAAAAACAGAAATTGCTGGAGAAACTTAGCAGGTCTGGCAGAACCTGTGGACAGAAAACAAAGTTAACATTTCAAGCCCAGTGACCCTTCCTAAGACTTGTCTTTGTTTGTTTCAGAGCTCTAATATTTTGTCTGACCTTTCTAAATTTGGACTCCCAAGCTGCTCAAAACTATACACAACATGCATTTTAGGAGCATCACTTAATTTGTGAGCATTTTTTAGCATTTTGACTTACTTCAATGACTTCTTCCCGTTGGATTTTCCCATTTACATGCAATTGCTTTCCTTCTGATTTTGATTGTTATGATGAGTCAACAATTCCTCCATTGTTGCTTCATCATCTGGTCACCAGGATAATATAAAAGCAGATGGACCTTAGACATTTTTTTGTCTGGCAATTCTTTCCTAGTTTATGCATAACTGAATTAGTCTTTCTAAATGTCTTTTCATAAACCTGTCAGTTACGTCCTTTGTAGAGTGTATAATAGTTACATTTCTTCCCATTAGTTAAAAATTATGTGCAGCTGTTAATGCTAATTTCACTTTAAGAAAGGAGTTTCACTTTCAAGATTTTTATGTGGTATGTGACCTTCCCTTCATCATAAAGTCACAATTGGAGATGTTTGCCAATGATTGCACAATGCTGTGCACCATTCACGACTCCTCAGTCCATGTCCAAATGCAACAAGACTTGGACAATTTTCAGGCTTGGAATTAAAAATTGCAAGTAAATAAAAGGGAACCTGAGCACTGCTCCTTGACACTCAATTATATCACAATCACTGAATACCTCACTATCAACTTCCTGGAGTTTACCATTGACCAGGAACTCAACTAGTCACACAAAAAGTGGCAAAGGGAGTAGGTCAGAGGCCCGGAATATTACAGTGAGTAACTCACCTCCTGATTCCCCAAACCGTTCCACCATCTAAAAGGCACAAGTCAGGAGTGTGCTGGAATACTCTCCATTGCCTGGATGATTGCATCTCCATCAACAGTCCAGAAACTTGACACCATCCAGGACAAAGCAGCCTACCTGACTGGTACCACACCACAAACATTCACTCGCTCCACAAACAATGCTCAGTAACAGCATTGTGTACAAGGTGCACTGCAGAAATTCACCAAAGATCCTTAGACAGCACCTTCAAAACCCACAGCTAATTTTATCTAGAAAGGCAAGGGCTCCAGATATATGGGAACACCACCACCTGCAAGTTCCCCTCCAAGCCACTCACCATCCTGACTTGGAAATATACGGACATTCCCTCAGTGTCGCTGGGTCAAAATCCTGGAATTGCCTCCCTCATGGCATTATGGATATACCTACAGCACATGGACTGCAGTGATTCAAAAAAACAACTCACCACCATCTCTTCAAGGGTGATTAGATATGATCCATCCAGAGAGGTCCATGTCCCACAAGTGAATAAAAAGAAGAAAGTAGTGTCATTGGTTGGGTCAGCATTTGTTGCTTGTTCCTAATTGACCTGGAGATGTTGTTAGGGAGCTGCCTTCTTAAACTGCTATAGTATTTGAGGTGCAGAGACACCAACAGTGTGGTTAGAGAGGGCCTTTAAGGACTTTTAGTAAGAATCAATTAAAAAAAAAACTGTGACATAGTTCCATGTCAGGATGGTGTGTAGATCAGAGCAAAACTTGAAGGTGGTGAAGTACCCATGCATTTTCTGCCTTTGTCCTTCTAGATGGTAGGGGTCATGTGTCTGGAAGGTGCTATTGAACAAGCCTTAGTAAATTACATCAGTGCATCTTGTAGATGTGACACACTGTTGCCACTATCCAATGGTAGTGAAGGGAGTGAACTTTGAAAGTGATGGATCTGGTATCAATTAAGAGGGCTGCTATTATGCCCCTGGACAGTGCCAAGCTTCTTCAGTGTTGTAGGAGCTGCACTCATCCAGGCAAGTGGGGAGTATTCTATCACACTTGTGACTGGTACCTTGTAGATGATGGACAGGCATCAGGGAGAAAGTAGGTCAGTTCCTTTCCACAGAACTCCTAGCACTTGACCTGCTCTTAATTGCCACAGTTATTATATGGTCAGTCCAGTTCAGTTTCTTGACAAAGGTATGATGTTGATTGTATGAGGTTCAATGAAGGTTGGCAGTTCGATTCTCTCTTATTGGGGCTTGAGATACTTAAATATTACTTGCTGCTTGTCACCCTCATCCCAGATATTGTCCAGGTATTTTGGTATATAGAGATGGACTGCTTCCATATCTGAGGAGTTGTGAATGATGCGCAAGTGAGCAGTCTTTAGTGAACATCCCTACTCCTGACCATATCATGAAGAAAAGTTCAGTAATGAAGCAAGTGGAGATGATTGGAGCTAGGGCACTGGCTGGCAAACTCCTGTAGAGATGTCCTGAGCCAGAGATGCTTGGTTTCCAACAAGCACAACCATCTTACTTTGAGAACAGTTGTGAGCTTTGCCATGATTCCACTGAATCCAGTTTTGCTAGAGCTCCTTGATACCATAGTCAGTTAAATGCTGCCTTGATGTCAAGGGCAGTCACGCTTACTGCAGCTCTTTTGGCTGTGTTTTTGCCCAACTTGCAACAATGTCCAGAGCTGAGCGTCCCTGGCAGAATGCAAACTGGGCACCAATAGGCAAGTTATTGCTAAGTAAGTGCCAGTTGATACCACGATTGATGACACCTTCCATCACTTTGCTGATCATTGAGAGTAGACTGTTAGTGTGTAACTGGCCAGGCTGGATTGACCTGTCTGCATGGATGTACCTGGACCATTTTCCACATTTTCAGTTAGATGTTAGTGTTGTAACTGTTCTGGAATATCTTGGCTAGCTATATGGCTAATTCTGGAGCAATAGCCATCAGTGCTTTCACCATATTGTTGTCAGGGCATTATTGAGTATTAACTGACTGATTGAATCATTTATTGTCATGTGTATTCAATATAAAATATAGTGAAAATTTGCCATGAATTGACATCATTCTCTTTAACTTAAAATTTAAGAAAATAATGAGAACTTAAAGAGAATCCAACTTTTCTGTCTCTGCCGCTACAGTCCTGCTCTGGGCTTCACCTGCCCACACCGTGCTGCCGCTACAGTCCCACTCCAGGCTTCACCTG